GGGTCCTGACTGAGCCAGGGGACTTGAGCGAGCCGCGGGTCCTGACTGAGCCAGGGGACTTGAGCGAGCCGCGGGTCCTGACTGAGCCAGGGGACCTGATGGAGTCCACGATTCTGACGGAGCCTGGGCTCCTGGAGATGGGGGGAGACTGTGACGTCAAGTCTTCCCACCCTGAGGCAGGCAGGGCGATGGGCACCTGGGGGTCATCGACTATCTTTGGGCCATCAGAGACTGGCACAGAGTAGAGGGTCACCTTAGAAGGCTCCACTGGGTCCCAGGGAGGTTCCTTCTCGGTCCATTTCTTCTGCGTGTCCTCCTTCACCCAGGTGTGTGACTCGGGCTGCTCCCTGACCATCACTGGTGGCCCATCCATGAAGGTCAGCTGGCTGGGACTGAAGGGCAAGGGGGCCTTGGTGGACACAGTGGATGTTCCAGAAGCCACCGAGAGCCAAGAGGGCAGGGAGACCTCAGGCAGCCTCAAGTGCTTCTCTTTGGAGTTGGCTATGATCATCAGCTTGGCCATCGCCAGCCCCTCCACGGAGAAGGGCCTGCTCTGCTCCTGCGGGGGGCCCTCGATGGCCATCTCCCTGGTCTTGATCCATTTCTTCTGATGCTCCACCTCCTTGGACTTCATGCCAGGCAGATCCAGGGTCACCTCCTCCTTCATCCTGTAGGCCCTGTCCTCCAACCTCCCTCTGCCCCTCAGGCCCTCCAGGGCCAGCTCCCGGGCCTTGCTGATCAAGATGTCCTCAGACTCCTTCTTGGTGGTGGTGAAGGGCAGCTCCAGAGACATCTTCTGGGTCCTCATCTCCACCTTGTTTATCTCCTGGGCTCCCAAGAAGACCACAGGCTGGGTCCTCCCTTCAGACCTGCCTCTCTCCAGCATGTCCCCTCCAGGAATTCCCACGGGCAACACTTCTGGCTTGGCCGTGGCCTTCTGCAAGGTGGATGGGCCAACTGCCGGCTGGTACTGGGGAAGTGAGGCCGGAGCCTTCCGGGACGGGGCAAGTGAGGGCRATTCCGTCTGTGGGGGAGGGGGACCAGCAGAGGGAGGCAGGGCCTGCTGAGATGAGGGGAGGGTCTTCTGGGGAGGGAAATACAGGGCTGGAGGCTTCCGGGACGGGTAAGGCAAGGCGGGGGTCTTCCGGGAAATAGTTGATGCAGGTGGCAGCTTTTGCGACGGGCCACCTCCAGTTGTGGCCTTCCGAAATGGAGCCCGAGTTGCTGGGGACCTCCGGGATGGAGCCGGGATGGCCGGCACCTTCTGGGACTGGTCTACGATGAAGGGTGCCTTCAGGGTCGTGGTTGGGGCAGGCATGGCCTTGTGGGAGAGTGGTGGGCCTGTGCCCTGCCGGGAGGCCATGCTCTTGGCCTTGTCCCGGGGCTCAGGAAAAGAGATACGAGTTGGAAAGAGGTACATGGGTGGTGGGTAGGGAGATGGACCCAAGGAGGAAGAGGATAAAGTGCTGGACTCCGGGTCCATTAGTTCTTCAACGTCTTGCTTCCACAGGAGTGTCTCTAAGTGATCATAGGAGCCCAGGAAGGTGAAATCGGGGCTTTCGTTGGAGATGCAGCGGGTTGGGTTTTTAATCACACCTCCCTTGCCTGGGGCCTCATCAGAATCAGATGTGCCGGGCTGTAGATGGATGGAGGGATGAATGGTCAGGGCCACAAGAGACCACAGCCTCAGGAGTCCTGCCTGAGTTCCCCTCCCCTAGGCCTCAGACCCAGGGGGCCACCCCC